GCGATCAAATAAGTTGCTATAGCAAAAAATTTTAAAAATTGCGTTTGTTAAGTCATAAGAGCCTGGGACGAAAGCCATAGTTTCTGATTTTGCGGCCTGCCTTTGCACCATGACATTTCATTTCTGTAGGGGAGTGGAATTAAGGATATATCTGGGTTCTGTGTAGGCAAGAACACCGAACAGGATCACTTCCTTGACCTGCCCCTAACTTTCAAGGATCCGGGAGCTCCGGCCCCAAACACATTTCCTTTCTAATCCAGGAAGTAACACTGCCCCCCCATTTGCTTGGTTGCCGGACTCTAAATTTTACACAATAATTGTGACATTGTCACATGGATAATACATGACCACAAAATCTGTATTTTTCTGCTCCAGACTTTTCCATAGTAACCCAAGATTTAATCCAGTATGTTTCACAGAAAGAAGAAAGCAGAAGGTAGACTTTAATATCCCTGTATTACATTCAGGTATCATTTTAAATTGGAGCTGCGATGGCTCAAGTGGTTAAGACACTGAACTGCAGGCTGTGGAAGGTCGGTAGTTCAGCAGTTCAAGACCCGAGTGCCGCATGACGGAGTGAGCTCCCGTCTTTAGTTCCAGCTCCTGCCAACCTAGCAGTTCAAGAGCAAGAAATGGCAAGTAGATAAATAGGTACCACTTCGGTGGGAAGGTAATGGCCTTGGTGTTTAGTCATGCAGGCCACATGACCACAGAAACGTCTTCGGACAGCGCTGGCTCTTCGGCTTTGAAACGGAGATGAGCACTGCAACCCTACAGCCGGATTCGACTGGCTTTCGAGCAAGGGAACCTTTACCTTTTATCATTTTAAACCCAGTTATTTATGAGACACTGTTTTTAAAAAATCTGATTTTTTAAAAATCGGCTTTTAGAAACCTTAGAATGCAGTTCTCGTTAATTGCAGCTCCATTCCCATTTGTAGAAATGCAGCCAATTAAAAAAAAATAACACTAAATGATTATAAGTGTCTCTGCTTTGACCAGAAAATCTTAGCTTGCCATGCTGTGAATTTCAGGCTTTCATTTATCCAACCTAGGTAAACAGCTGCCTAGGTAACAGCTGCTGATGAACTTGTTATCCCTTTTCAAAGTAATCTTAAACCAGTGGCTGCTGCATCATGTGACAGAGAGTTCCACAAGTTAGTTGTGCATACTGTGAAGAATGCGTCCTTTTGTCTGTCCTGAACATACTGCCCATCCAAATTCATTAGGTGACCATAAAGTTTTAGAATTACGGGAGAGGGAGAGAAAAAAGTATCTCCTCTTTCTCCACGCCATGCATAGTTTAATAACCATCATAACCCCCGCATCCTCTTGTATCACAATACGAGTAGGAATTTCTCACAAGCCTTGGCTCGCTCGCCTCGCAGTGGAGCTGTGGTGAGAATGTTGGCTTCGACCTTGCTTATTTTGGCTTTCCGTGGGGCTGAGGTTCTTCCAAAAAGCTCTACTGGACTTTAACTGTCCAACATCTAGCAAAGCTGATGCTGCTTATCCAAACGTGCCAGGGAGCTGAGTTTTTGCAAACTGTCCTTTGACAGCTGAGTTTCAGCAAAGCTTATTTCGCTGCTCTTCTTACCGGGGAGTTAAGGCATTTCACCATACATTTATTTTAACCAGTCAGCTAGTGCCAGGAGTGTCTTTCTCCTCCCCCATCTGCTTGCAATTCCATTTTAATGGATTCAGGGTGTTCCCCCCCCACACTTCTATTTGTGCAAAGCTTATTTTGCTTCTCTTCAGTTGCATAGAAAAGGAAGTCTTGCAAAGCTCTGTGCTTTTGTTCAGAATCACATGTTTTGGAGTCTTTCCTTGGTCCCTTTCTCTGAAGGGAAGCTAGGCCAGCTATGGCCCCTGCCACACGGCAGAAAAAAACACGGCCAAAAGAGAAAAAAACACACCAAAAGAGACACGCGGCGGCGGGATCACGGATCCCGTGAGCCGCCGCGCTGTTGCTCCCCAGCACGATCAGATGCCGGGGAGGAAGCCACCGACGGGAGACCGAGGCAGCCGGCTGTGCATGTGCAGTTTGGCCAGGAGCCTCGGATGCGCCGGCAGAAGGACGCGCCGGCGATCCCACGGCCGCGCTTTCCGCGGCCTTTCTGGTAAATCCACCTCTGTAGGTGGTTTGTTTTCACTGCGGATTTTCGGCCTGAAGGGCCGGATCGGGGACGGGTGCGCGCCGCTTCCCAGATGTTGCGGTGGGATCGCGCCCGTTTGCTGCGCCCCCAATCCGTCCCTCTTCCAGCCCTAAACCTCCCGTGTGACCGGGGCCTATAATAGCCGCAGGGCTCCATCGAGATGGGGGATTTGTTTCAGTTGCTTTCCCGCCAGCCTCATTCTAACTGCGATCACACACATTAAATAATCCATTTTCAGTGCACTTTCCTACTGGATTTTAGTGGCCCATTCTGTATCTAGCATTCGCTCCGCTGTTTTACCAAACCCACACTGGAACAGAAAAAGATGTGGCTCAATACCTGTCACCCCCGAATGGCCATAAAACGGCCATCAGTCTATGCAGATGGTACCATAAAACTGAGAGATCAAACTAAGTGAACGCGGCCATGCAGTCCCGACACTGCCATAAAATCTGACAATCAATCAAAGTGAAAGTGGCATGCAATGCAGAGGGGAATTTCTGTTCCAAGGTGGGTTTGGTAAAATGGCGGAGCAAATGCTAGATGCAGAATTGGCCATTGTGTGAACTGGCAAAATCCAGTTGGAACGGCGGACCTGGCCTCTCTCCTTTTCTTTGGCCCGGAATCACTCCCTGACCTTGGGCAAGTCATACATGTTTGCAGGACTGGGGGAATGTATGATGCTACTGCATTTGGAAGATGTGTGTGTGTTTGTGTGTGTGTATTGGTGGAGAAGTACTGTATAAAGTTTTTTTGGGGGGGGGGGCTTGATAGGCCAGGCTCTGGTTTCTGGTGCCAGATTTTATATGCCCGAGAAATCTCTGCTTTAACGCACAAAGCAGATTTCTGGTCCTCATGACAGCATAGATCTGGGTGGAGCCAAATTTGTCTACTCTGTGGGATTCCGTCTTCCTTTGACTCCTCCCCCAGACACTTTCACGGGCCTTTGCTGGCTCCCTACCTGCCCTTAGCCAAAAAGCAATCAGTGCAAACTCAAAACAGCAAATTTACCAGCAGTGCAAACTTGGGGTGGTGTATCGCTCTCTCTTTTCCCTTTTGAGCTCAGGACTGGGGAGGGCCCCATAACACCGGGGATCAGGGGCTAACCTCCGTTCCATTTCCTCGGTTAAAAGTGCACACACACACACACCCCCAGCTGCTTGAATTCCTGTCAGGGGAAATAAATATTGTGTCTTTTTAAATTCCCAGAGCAGGGATTTTCTGTCTGGGAAACGGAGACAAAGAGCTAACAACAACTTTTTCAGCGTTCCAGTCCATAAGCCCCCCCCCCCCCCCTCCCATGGCCAGTGTTCCCTCTAAGCTGAGTTAGTGTGAGGTAGCGCACAGTTTGTTAGCCTCTGGCTCGCACCTTTTTGTCTCTGCTCAGGAAGGAGGGCTTCAGAGCAAACTAATTTATGCAGTAGCCAAATCGCTCACTCACAACTTCAAGGCCAGTAGCTCACAAAGTAGAATTTTTGCTCACAAGACTCCACAGCTTAGAGGGGACATTGCCCATGGCCCTTTAATTTTTATTTTTTTTAAAAGAGAGAAAAGGGACAGGACACATGACTTAACAACTCTCCAGGGCCACACTATAGTCACTGACCCTTCCTTCTGTGAGGAAGGACGGCTTCCGGTGACACTGGTCCTTTCCGCACTTGGATCTCATC